ACCCTGTCTCAAAAAAAAAAAGCTCCTTTCAGGTTTGGCTGTGTTCTATAGTTTTTAATATGCAGTCTTTTCATTAGGCTTTTCTAAATTATCTGTGGCCCCAATATTTATTTTTCTTTTACCCAAGTACTATTTAAAATAGAAGTTTTAAAATTTTCTAGTGAATAGCTATTCTTGTGGCACAGGATGATGGGAGGGCTCAGCCCTTTTTGATGATTTTTAGTTTTTTTGCATCAGATAACTGCCTTGATAGTTTTTTCTTTGTGCTTAAATCCATGGTCAAGTTTTTTATGCTTTGATGTTCTGCATTGTGTGGTCTCTCTTGTTTTAAAATGTTGCTTACATGGTGCATGCTTTCTAATCATGGTCACATGGGTCTATGTATTTCTGTTTTATCATGTTTGTTAATTGCATTGTTAAATCGTTTAATAGTTATTATTTTCTTTTTTTCTGTTTGAGTAGTTGGATCTGGAAAGAAATTTATTCAGTTTTCTCATTATGACTTTCAGTTTATTTTTCTTTATGTTCATACCAACTTTTGCTTAACATCTTCAGTTAATTCTTCAGAGGTTGGCCATGGTGGTTTGTGCCTGTAGTCCCAACTACTCAGGAGGAGGAGGTAGGACGATCTCTTGAGCCCAGGAGGTTGAGGCTGCAGTGAGCCATGATTGTGCCACTGCACTCCAGCTTGGGTGACAGAGTGTGACTCTGTCTCAGAAAAAATATATATATATAGAGAGAGTAAATTTTATGTGCTTGTACATTGCTCTCATATTTGTCTATAGGCTTATCTGCCTACAGAATTTTAAATTCAAAATTTTCTTTTATAATGACCAAACTGATTTTATTATCTTCTGTCACTCCATATTGCAGGTGAGAATTCAATGTCATCCCAACTTTTTTCCTTGGAAAGGATTTTTTTTAATTGTATGGAAGTATTAAGAACTTTTTAAATAGATGAAATTCAAAAATTTCTGTGAGCTCTAACACTTACCATAGAATTCCTCCAAATAAGTTTTGCGTTCAAAAAATATATACAGTACTTTGTGTAGGGAAAGTTGCGTACTGATGGTAGAATCAACTTCTTTGAAGCAAATGACTGGGGTAACTTTTCCTTCTTAAAATTACTTGGTCATTATTTTTCTTGACTCAGTCTTTCCAACTACCTTAGTTGCTTTGTTGAGTTTTATTTTGCTTGTTGTTGTTTTTAGGTTCCTTCTAAGAAAAGTAAATTTTTTAGTGAGGGATGACAGAGGGAGTTTTCGCTTTCAGAGATGTAGGCTGGATTGCTCAGTTCTTCAAGTGCGCCAGTTCTCATCTGCTCCTGCACTGTTAGGACCTGCTGGTACTAGCCTTCCAGGCATTCGAGCACTATTATGGATTTATTATGTTTCTTCTTTTGTTTCATTGGCATCCACACAAACATGTATTGAGTTAGTCATTTGAACTGGAATTCAGAGGTTTTTTTTTTTTTTTTTTTTTTTTTTGAAACGAAATCTCACTCTGTCACCAGGCTAAAATGCATGATCTTGGCTCACTACAACGTCCACCTCCTGGGTTCAAGTGATTTTCCTGCCTCAGCCTCCTGAGTAGCTGGGACTACAGGTGCGTGCCACCACGCCCAGCTAATTTTATATTTGTAGTAGAGATGGGGTTTCACCATGTTGGCCAGGATGGTCTTGATCTCCTGACCTCGTGATCTGTCCGCCTCGGCCTCCTGAAGTGCTGGGTTACAGGCATGAGCCACCGCACCCGGCCCAGAGTTTTTAATGGAATCACCAGTAACATTCTACAGTATTTTCCAGAAGCAAATACAAAGACGATAACTTTGAAATCTTCAAAAGATAAATTTATATTGGTTCTTTTAAAACAATGTACATTTTAAAAAGACGTTTACGAAATACAGAAGAAATAAATTTTTTTATATTTATTTGCTAATGCCAAAATTACAATCAAATTCTGAAAAACTAATGTTGAAACTTTGAAAAAAGTCCTTTAATGAACTGAGTATTACAAATTAAGGAGTGGTGGATTTCAGGCCTGTGTGTGTGATATGATATATCTCATATATATTTTAAAACTTTTCAAGTGTGAATAAATCATCTAAGAATGCATGAATGTTTTTTGCCAAGAATACATTCTTTTTCTTTTTTTCTTTTTTTTAAATTGCATTTTAGGTTTTGGGGTACATGTGAAGAACATGCAAGATTGTTGCATAGGTACACACATGGCAGTGTGATTTGCTGCCTTCCTCCTCATCACCTATATCTGGCATTTCTCCCCATGCTCTCTCTCTCCCCAACTCCCCACCCCCCGCTGTTCCTCCCATATTTCCCCCTGACAAATCCCAAGGAATAAATTCTTAAAGGAAAATACACAAGCTCTACATTTTAAAGATTGATTTTTGGAATGGTTCTTTAGATTTCGGCTGTTAAGTTTTGATTGGAATTCAGTTTTTATGAATCAGTAAATTTATTATAAAATGTTACTACCTTGCATGATAAAACTTTAGAGATTCTAAGTAAAATTCATAATTAATGTGGAAGAGGAAGAGATTTGTAGCAATCACAATACCAGTATCAGTAGCAATTTCAGTGACAATTGAACAAAAATATTTTATAATTATTTTATTTACTATACACTATTTTTTTAATTCTTCGTATGTGCCAAGAGGATTATGCACACGATATCACTGTAGACATCCTTTTTCTTTTTCTTTTTTTTTATTTATTTTACTTAAGGTGCATACTATACCTGGCATTTCTCCCCGTGTTATCCCTCCCCACCCTCCCCTGCCTCTCCACCCCTCACTGTCTCCCTCCTACCCCCGCCTACTTTCCCCAGTGTGTGATGCTCCTCTCCCTGAGTCCACGTGTTCTCGTTGTTCAACACCACCTATGAGTGAGAACATAACAGTGTTTGGCATCCTTATACCTGTATCTGGACAACTTTTGCAATAATAGCGGTAGGATAAATTCTTAGTACTGGAGTTGTATAGTAGGTAGAACTGGATTTAGGGGATTACGTTTTGATAGCTGGAGTTAAATCACTCCATATCCCAACAGTGGTGTATAAGAATATCTGTTTCCACCTTTTCATTTGCACTAGGTATTAGCAAACATAAATTTGTGACTTCCTGAGAGGTTTAAATTTTTATCTTGCTTTGATTTACATTTCTTTAATTGTGGGTGTAGCTGTAGCTATTCAGATGCTTAAAAGCTATTTTTAAATCTAATTCTTGTTTTTAATCATGGTCCTTGATTAATAGTCCTTAACGATATATCCTGGAATTTAATTTTTTGTTCATTATATGTTTTGAAAATATTTCTTCCTCACATAGAGTCAGCTTTGAATTAAGTATTGATTTTTAAATTTTTTAGGTAGTTACATGTATTGGTTTTTATAGTTTCTGGGTTTTATGTTTGCCTAGAAAAGCCTTTTGTACTCTAAAATTATAAATAAATTCACTCATGATTCTTTTATAATATGTGTGATTTTATTTTAAACCTTTGTATCTTTGTTTCAGCTAGAATTTGTTGTAGGTGTCTAGTAATCCAATTTTATTTTTCTCAAATGGTTAGCCAGTTATCTTAATGTCATTTATCGAGTAAGCCCGCTTTTCCACAGTGATTTGAAAGGCCACTTTGGTGTAAAATTAAAGCCTATTTCTAGACATATTATTCTGTCCTAATTATTTATTTTTTCCTTTCTCTTCCAGTGCTAAACAGTTTTAGTTATATTAGCTTTATAATTTATTATTCCATAGTTTCTCCTCAAGTTTTCTCAACTTAGGAAAAATTCATTTTCTCAAATTTCTCCTAAACACTTGCTGAATTATTAGTTAATATTGTGTTGAATTTATAGTTAACTTTGCTTGTCATTTCCATTCTTAATAGTTCTTGTTTACTTCTCTTTTTTAATTGTAAGATTTGATATTTATTGATATGGTTTATAACTTTCTGTTTTGATAGAATATCAAGTTTTGGTATTATTATGTCGTTTTTGTAAAAAGCATTTGGAAGGGCTCCTGACTACAGTGCATTCTAAACTGAAATTTCTATATATTAAATAATCACAGCATACCAAAGAGAGTTAAGAGTGCAGAGATAAATAAAAAATTTTTTTATTTTAGAACTTTGAGTTTTCTAGCAGATTCCAATTTTACGTTCTGTAATTTTTCTGTAAAGGCACAATTTATTTTTCATTTTGATATCAGACTTCTTCTCATGTGGAACCTTTGTTTCGCCTCTACTGATCTGTCACTGTTCTCCGAACATACATTATTATTCCTAACTTAGCATTGACATGAATGGTTTTATTTATTCATTTACCTATTGAACACCTTTTGTTTTCCAAGTACTCTATGAAGTTCTGAAGTTACAGTGGTAAATAAGAAAGTTATACATCCAGGGACATAGACTTTTGATTGAAGGTGCTAACATGATGTGTTATGATAGTTAAGAGTTTTAGAATTAGACCTGGGTTCAAATACTTAACTTTGCCACTTAATAGCAGTATGACCTTGAATGTATTGTTTAATATCTCTGTACCTCAGTTTTCCTCATCTGTTTCTGTGTAAAGTCCCTGAGTTGATTTCTGTAAACTACTTCTAAAGCCCTTGGCACATGGTAAGTGCTCAATAATTGTTATGTTAGTTGTTATTAATACTATTACTAATTGTCCCACAAAAATTATCACACATTAATCTTTCAGTATCTCATCGCAGTCCACACCACATCATTTTTCTATGCCATAGTGCATGAGGAATCAAATTTGATAGAATACCCCTTAATCATTGAGCTAGATTTATTGAAAAATACAAATAACTCAATATTCTCTAATTGTACTATTTAACCTAGCTTCTGTTAGTTTTAATAATATTTAAGCAAGTGAATTTTAATTTTATTTGTGTTAATTTTAGATCCGGTTATAAAATTGTATTTTAGCTTCAGAATAAGAATGATCACCCTACCCCTATGTCTACAGCAATAACACCCTGAACACAACACATCTCGTCTGTTCTTGGAAGATAGACAGGGTCGGACCTGGTTAGTACCTGGATTAGAGATGTAGCTCCCAGAGTTGCTTTGTATGTCGTGACTTAGCAGTTGGACACTGCTTTCCATTTTATTGTTTTGGCATCATTTGCTGAAAAAAAGACTTATTAAATGCAGTGTTATTTATTAGATGGTAGGAAATGCTAAGTTCTTACGTACTTCCCCTGGCCTCTACATAATAACATAACCCAGTTCTCTGACATCTTTCACTACTAAAATGAATTTTTGAACCATTATTTCAGCTTTCATAATTTTTAAGACTAATAATGTTTGTAGAAATATCAAAAATTATGTTGCCACCTTAATTTTTAAACATCTTCTGGAATCGTAGGACAGATGTCGGGACTCTTTGGAGTCATTGGCACCATTGATGAATGGTCTCGCAAGTGAAAAAGTACTAGGAGTGCTCAGATGGAATTGCACCTAGCATTTTCGTCTTGTAGTAACAAACAAATCAAAGGGAGACACTGTAAGGACTTAGTACTTGGAGGCCTAATTTTATATTTGAAAGTTGAAGAAAAATGGAAATTATAGGATAAACTTTTGCCCGAAGGACAGAAATACTTGAGATGAGTCATGTATGATAAGGAAGTGCTTACATATGCTTGTTGATGGGTTGTAAAAAAGGAACTCTCACATTCTGCTTGTTGATCTTCTTTCTCTTTCCAAAATGCAGTCACAGATTTCACTTTTTAGAGCTGACAAATGGCCTAGATGAAATATTTCACAGAAAACAGAGCAGAATTTAGAGCAGTATTGTATTATTTCTTTGTTAAATTGAATTTTTTCAGTGTGTTTAATTGGTTCATCTCTAGCAAGTAGATCAAGTATAAAACTTTAGAAAAGAAACGTGCTGGTAACCCTATCAAACATAACAGGCTAGGGATAGTGGTAACAGGGAGAAATAAAAACATTACAAAGTTAAAATGGTTGATGACAGCAGGATTCTGGGTTAGTACAGTAAAGGTACATGAATATGGGTAATAACCAGAGATACGTTGGTAATCCTCAGATGGACTGATTTCATAGGAGGCATTATTCGGGCAGAAGTCCCATTTGCCTGAGTTCAAGAGAGAACAAACAGGAGAGTTAAGTGTTGATAACTCTTGAGGATCTTTGTTACAGGGAGAGTAATGAGGTAATAGCTAGAGAGAGATGTTGGGTTAAGGAGAAGAGTTTTTTTTCTTTTTTTTTAATTTTTGTTTTTTGGATTTTTTTTTTTTAACCCTGGGAAATATTCTAACATCTTTGCCCATAGATGATGTGGTTCATTGAAATGGAAAAGTTAATCAGGTAGGGAGATTGGGGGCAGTATCTGCAGCATTGACTTTAGGTTGGCAAGAAGGAATGGGAGCCACCGTATAAATTCAGGGGTTGTCTTTGGAGAAGAACATGAACAGCCTACCCATGGTAACAGGTGGGAGGGCAAAATATATGGAAATGAATATAGTTAGGTTATTGATACAATACTGAGAGAAGTTCATCCAGTTTTCTTCTGATTGCTTCAGTTTTCCAGTGAATTTTCCAGTTCTTTAACTTAGATTATCTGAGAGAGGGAGAGAGGAAATGGACTAGGAAAATGCAAAAGGAAAGAGAGCTCCAGGAGACCATATATTTCCAGAAGAACACATGGCCTGCTTGTGTATGTACATTACCCACTTGGCCCCTGAATTTATTATTGGAATCCCTGTTTTATTCTTCTGTGTCTTTTGGAAAGTTACTTCTCCCTTATTTCTCAATGCCTTTTTAGTAGGGGGAAATTAAAAAATACCTGTTTCTTTGAGTAAGGTTAGTTGTCTATTTTGTCCTGATAAAAAGCTAATTAAACAGCAAAGTATTTGTTGAGAATTTCCTATGTCCATATATAGCTAGTCACTCTGCTGTGTTTACTGTTACTAATTAGAGTGTCAAAATTAAAGAAGAGAACTACTGATACTGATATTCTGGATTTCACAGTGGGATTCTTTTTCAGTTTTTAAAAAACATCAAACTTTTTTAATTCTTCTTTTAGATGTTCTTAATAGTTGCTCCTCTTTCTGTCCTCTACAACTGGAAGGATGAATTGGACACCTGGGGATATTTCAGAGTCGCTATTTTACATGGAAACAGAAAAGATAATGAACTAATTCGTGTAAAGCAGAGGAAATGTGAAATTGCTCTAACAACTTATGAAACATTGCGCTTATGCCTGGATGAACTTAACAGGTAATGAGAATAATGGGAATGATTGTATTAATTTTCTGCTTCCATCCCTTTATATTATTATTATTAATTGTTATTTTTTGAGACAGAGTCTTGCTCTCTCTAGGCTGGAGTGTAGTGGCGAGATCTTGGTTCACTGCAGCCTCCACCTCCCAGGTTCAGGCAATTCTCATGCCTCAGCCTCCCGAGTAGCTGGGACTACAGGCGCACGTCATGACGCCTGGCTAACTTTTTGAGTTTTTATTAGAGATGGAGTTTCACCATGTTGCCCAGGCTGGTCTCAAACTCCTGAGCTTAGGCAGTCCGCCCACCTCAGCCTCCCAAAATGCTAGGATTACAGGTGTGAGCCATCGTCCCCAGCCTATACTGTGATTATTATACTCTCATTATTCCTTTGCTTGAGTTAATTTCCTTTTAGAATTATTGAAATATTTAGTTCATAATAACTTATTCTTTGAGAAGGAAAAACCTGCGTTAGGTTTTCTAGAATTTCTTACTCTGTTCCGTACACTGAATACAGGATACCTCTTCAAGCAATGATTGTTAAAGAATGATAAGACTTGTCCTAAGTCTCATGTACAGCCTTTTATGCAGACAGTGCCTCTGAACTAGGTCAGTGATTTTCATGAGTTATTTTAATTATGAGAGCCTGTTGTGAATGTAGAGTGGCAAGAAATACACACACACATGCAGAGAACCACTGCAGCGCAGAGTGTGAGAGAGAAGTGGCCAAGAGGCAACACCAGTAATATGGCAGGGAATAGATTATAGAGAGTATTGGAAGGTACTTTGAGGATTTTGATCTTTATCCTGAGAGCAACAGAGTGCCCCTTACATTGTTGTCACCAGATTACAGACAGGATAAAAATGATCAGATTTGTACTTTGTAAGTACCCTAGCTGCCATGTTAGCAGATAGAGGAGAGACACGCTGAATGGAGAAAAACCAGTTAAGAGGCTTGTTATGTGCTGAATTGTGTCACTTCACCTCAATTCCCCTTCCACAATTTCTGTGTGTAGGTCTCAGCCCCAGTACTTCAGAACGTAACTGTGTTTAGAGACAGATCTCTTTGATTAAGTTTTAAAGAGGTGATTGAAACCGAGGCTGATTGGGTGGGGCCTGGGTCCAGTATGACTGGTATCCTTACATGAAGAGAAAGAAACAGCAAGGACACACACACGTTACAAAGAAAAGGACTTGAGGACACAGCAAGAAGGCAGTCATCTTGCAAGCCAAGGGGAGAGGCCTCAGGAGAAGCCAAATTTGCCGACACCTTGCTCTTGAAATTCTAGCTTCCAGGATTGTGAGGAAATAAAATTTGGTTGTTTTAAGCCATCGAGTCTGTGGTATTTTATTTTGGTTGCCCTAGGAAACCAATGCCAGGCTTTTATAGTAGTCTGCTCAAGGCACCATGATAGTGAGGTCAGAACTCTTCATAGTTGTGCCAGCAGCAGGCTGGGCCTTGGTAAACTCATTAACTTCATCTGCTTGTAGCGTAATTTCTCTACAGGGATACAATTTATACCATTTAGATGAAGATTAAAGTGTGGCATTAGAAACGGTTATCTAATAAGTCTTTAAAATGTTTAAACGTTATAGTTATACTCTGTTTGAACTATTGCTAATGAAGGATTCATGATATTCCCCCGAAGTCAACCGAAGCTTAGAAAACCAGGTTATTTTTTAAGGCGATACTTTCACATCAGCATTAAAATGATTTGGCGTAGGATAAAAATGAAGAACGACAGTTGATAGTTGTCTCAGATTTTATAAGCACAAAACAAAGAGTAAAAAAAGTTACTCATTAGCTATGTGGCTTTGGGTAAATTGGCCCATCTGGAAAATGACAGACGATAAATTAAACCTGTCTTTGTGAAAACTAGCTCCTCAAGCCCAGCTGGAGAGTTTTATTAAAATCACCTTTAGCGAGATTTAATTTGTATACAATAATTATACCATTTCAAGTATACAGTTTGATGAATCTTGACCAGGGATTGGTGTACTTTTTCTGTAAAGGACCAGGCAGTGAATATCTTAGGCTTTTGGGCCACATACGGCCTTGGCTGCATATTCTTCTTTTTTATGACACTTTAAAATGTAAAAACTACTCTTAGCTTGCTGACCATACAAACATGGCCATGGGCTGGATTTGGCCACGAGCAGTAGTATACTTGACTCCTAGGTTTGACAGATGAGTGTAACCACTATCCCAAACAAGATAGAAGCATTTTTATCATCTCAGAGCTTTTACTTCTTTACAGTAGCCTTTCCCCAGCCTTCACCTTGGGCAACTACTGATTTTGATTGCTGTCACTATAGATGAGTTTAAGCTGTTACGGAGCATGTCAATGGTATTACACAGGAAGCACCCTTCTGTGTGTGGCATCTTTTGTTTAGCATGGTTTTTGAGATTCATTCACATTATGGAGTATATCAGTGATTGTTCTTTCTTAATGTTGCATTGTATTCATCTTGTCAGTATGCACATTTTGTTACCCATCCATCTGAGGATAGATTTTGGGGTTTTCCAGTTTTTGATTATTATAGATACAACTTCAAGGGATATTTGTGTGTAAGCCTCTTTTGGACGTATGTTTTCATTTCTCGTGGAGTAGAATTTCTGGATTGTATGGTTAACTGTAGGTTTAGCTTTAGAAGAAACTGCCAAACCATTTTCCACAGTGGTTTTACTTCAGTTAGCAATATGTGAGAGAGTTCAGTGCTTCATATTCTCAGCAATATTTGGTATTGTCAGTCTTTTTGTTTAGCTGTTTTAGTAGGTGTGTAGTAGTATCTTGTAATTTACATTTTTCTGATCCATGTGCACTTGGAAAAATGTTTTTTCTGCAGTTATTGGGTGTAGTGTTCTATAAATGTCAGTAAGACTAGATTGGTTAAAGTATTGTTTACGTGTTTTCTATCTTTGTTGATTTCCTTTTAGGTTGACTTATAGTATCTGAGAGAGGAGAGTTGAAATTTTCAGTTATAATTGTAGATATATTTATTTCTCCTTTCACTTCTGTCAGCATTTAATTTAGTATTTTGAAGTTCTTTTATGAGGTGTACATGCATTTATGGTTGTTATTTTTCCTGATGAATTGATCCTTGTATCTTTTTTAAAAAGTAACTATTTATTTCTAATAATATCTCTTATCTTGATCTTTTATCTGATATTAGCATAGCCATATTTTGGTACATTTCAGTAGTTTGCTCCTTTTTATTGCTGAATGGTATTGTTATATGGCTATCCCATATTTTATCTATTCACCAGTTGATGGATATTTAAATTGTCTCCAGTTTTTGCCTATATGAATAATAACTGCTGTCTTATGCTGAGTCTTATGCTTACTGCATGTGAATAGCTTTTCGTGTTTTTATTTCAGTACATTTGTTCTTAATATTTGGAGTGAGTCTCTTATAGTGCAGTCTTGCCTGTTCATCCATTCAGATAATCTTCGCCTTTTATTTGGGATATGTAGACCGTTCACTTTGAGTACAATTATTGGTAAAGTTGGATTTAGAGCTACCATTTTTGTAAGGTCTGGGATTTAATCTTATAAAGCAAACTTATAAGCTAATAAATTAGCCTGTTACTATTTCATGGATCCTGAGAGAAGACAGACTAATCTGAGGCATGGAGAGGTTAACATAATTTTCCTAGGCCTCCACAACTAAGAGGATGTGAGGTTTGAACATTGATTATCTACTGCCAGACCTCAGATTTTGTTTTGTTTTTGAGATGGGGTCTTGCTCTCTTGCCTAGGCTGGAGTGCAGTGGTGCTGTCACCGCTCAGCGCAGCCTCAGTTTCCCACCTCGGTCTTCCAGGCAGTGGGACTACAGGAATGCACCACCATGCGTGGAAAATGTTTTTTTCTTGTTTTGTTTTTGTTTTTGTTTTTTTTGGTAGAGACAGAGTCTCCCTCTGTTGCCCAGGTTGATCCCAAACTTCTGGACTCAAGTGATCTTCCAATCTTGGCCTCCCAAAGCGCTGGGATTACAGGTGGGAGCCACCATGCCTGGCCAGACCTTAGGCTTTTAACCAATATACTATACCACCCCGAAAGATGTTTTGCTGTTAAATAAATGTAATAAATTCATGTATCATAGCATCAGGCATATTTTAATTATTTCTTACCTGTCTCCTTAGGCTCTTTGATGAGGAGATTTGTATTTTTAATTTCTGTATCTCAGTGCTTATTACACTTATAGCATATAAGAGTTGCCAAATAAATGTTTGTTAGGTTGCCGTTTTTTCTGTGATTCTTATAAATATTAAACAAGAATTCTGAAGTAGAATTATATAACTATAAATCATATATTTATAAGATTAGAAGAATCAAAAGCTTACGATTTTTGTTATATTTAGTTGTATTTATTAGTTCAAATGCCTTTATTTTGTGTTTGGCAAATATTTAAAATAATTAATATTTTACCTGAGCAAATACTAAGTTGTTTTTGTGAGGCTGGTGCTCTGCACTTACCATGGATAGTCCACGGAGGGGATAAACGTGCTATGTAACATAAGGAGCTATGGCTTTTTTCTTATTGCTGTTATGTTTTTTTCTTTATTTCAGTTTTTGTCAGAGCTATGTATGTATGTGATTTAAAGAGCTAAATATGATAAAAGGCTTTTAGTGAAAAACTGCAGTTCACTGCCCCCCAATTGCCTTTACCTCAACGCTCACTGATCTTTGTTTTCTTTACCTCCTTACTGCTATAGAACATGTTTATGCTGCAACTGTTAAATTTTTCTTTAGTTTTCAGCATCATCTGTTGATTTCTTCTTAAGGAAAACGAGGATTTTGCTGTGTTTTGCCCTTCTCTGGCCTGCTGTCAGATGACCTGGCCCATCTACTTTGTGCAGTGGGAGGATTCTTAAACAGACTATTATTGAATGTACATGACTCCAATTTCCAGAGACATTGGGGGCCACCCATTCTTAGCTTTTCCAGAACTAAATAATATGAATTAGATTGCTTCTTGGCTTTTTTCACTCTTGACATAGGATACTGTAGTCTCTGCTTTTGTAAGTCATCTTGTCCGTGTTCTTTTCAGCTTCTAGAATTTTTGCTATTTCTTCCTCTCTTTGTTCTTGAGGCTTCTACCTTTTTTCAGCTTTATATTAAGAAAATGATGAAACCTATAGAAAATTTAATGGTACATGAACAACCACCCATATTCTCACCATCTAGATTCAATAGGGGTGTGTGTGTGTGTGTGTGTGTGTGTGTGTGTGTGTGTGTATTTTTTTTTAAATGTTGGCAAAATATAAGTTAATGTATGTAAACGTGTGTGTGTGTCTGTGTCTTTGTGTATAGGGGAGGTAATGAATCATTTCAGCAAGTTGCATAAAACACAACATCTTTAAGTTTTTTAGCGTGGATTTCCTAAAACTGGTGATATTTGTTGTCATATCACAATATCACTGTCACACATGAGAAAATTAATAACAATTAAAATTTCCTCAGTTATTTTCAAAACACCTTTAATATCTAATATGTATAAAGCAGGATTCAGTAAAGGTTCAGATGAAGAATTTGGCTAAGTCTGTTTATTTTCTTCCCGTATACATCATTTTTCCAACTTTTACTTTTTAATTATATGACTTTTTGAGGGGACCAGGCCAGTTAGATGTCTTTTAGGATATCTCATATATTGGATTCGTCTGATTACTTTCTCAAGATACATTCATCTGTCATTTGTATTTTAGTAAGGTAGTTTTGGCCCAAAGGCTTAAATAGATTCAGATTAAACATTTTTGGCAAGAATGCTTCATAAGTGATGTTGTGGACTTCATATTACATCACTTCAGGAAGTATTAATGTCAGGTTGTTCGACTGTCAGTCATGCCAAGTTTGTCCCACAGGTTAAGGAGGTTACCATCATCAGATCTCTCCATTGTAAAGATATGTTTCTCCCTTTATAATGAGCAGATAATCTGTGGAGTGCTACTTTGCCACTATTTAAATATTCTGGTATCCCTGAATCCTTTTACTTAGTAGTGTTAGCATACACAAATTATTCTTGTCTGAATCAGTTACTTTACTAGGTTTGGCAAAATAATATTTTTCTAGTTTTATTATTTCTTTTCTATCTGTTAGTGGTATTCTCCTGTAAAGGAAAGCTTTCTCCATTCATTAGGAATTAACTACAAATTTGACTTTAAAAAAGCAAGGTGAATGCTTGATTCTTTTGCTTTAATGACCAATTTTTGGAGTAGGAAGTTAGTGTAATGGTCATCTACAGTGGTGGCAAAATTTCTTACCCTCTCCTCCTTTCTTTCTTCCCCCCCCCGCCCTTTTTTTTTTTTTGTGAATATCGCTATGGATTTGGGCATTATTTAAGTATAGTTGACATAAAATGTACTCTTGTAACTTAGAATGATTTTTCATAAATTTTAAAAGTTGTGCAAGTATTACCACAATCTAGGTGTAGAACATTTCCATCACCTCAGAAAGTTATTTGTCTGTAGTCAGTCCCTGCTCCCATCTCCAGCCCCTAGCAACCACTGATGTGCTTTCTCCCTCTATAGATTTGCCTTTATGGACATTTGATATAAATGGAGCCATTCAGTATAAAGCCTTTGGCGTCTGGCTTCTTTCACTTAACATGATATTTTTGAAGTTCATTTATATTGTGGTACCTTTCAGTAGTTTGTTCCTTTTTATTGCTGCATGGTACTGTTATATGGCTGTTCTGTATTTTGCCCTTTCACCAGTTGATGAACATTTGAATTGTTTCCAGTTTATGGCTATACAACTATGCTGCTGTGAACATTCACACACAAGTCTTTGCACCCAAGTTTTCATTTTTCTTGGATGGATACATAGGAATGGAATTGTGAGGTCTTACACTCAGTATGTTTAACTTTTTAAGAAACTGCCAACTATTTTAGAATAGTTGCTGTGCTTTCCCAAAAGCAGTGTATAAGGATTCTAGTTTCTCCACATCCTTCTTAACACTTGATATTTTTAATCATTTTTATCATAGCCATTCTAGTTTTAATTTGCAGTTCTCTAATAAGATGTTGAGAATATTTTCATGTACTTATTTGCCATCTGTTTCATAAAATGTCTGTTCGAATCTTTTGCTTATGTTTTAATTGGGTTTTTAAAATTTTGTTGACTTGTAATAATTCTGTGTTGTTGTTTTTGTTTTGTTTTGTTTTTTGAATGGAGTCTGTCTCTGTCACCAGCCTGGAGTGCAGTGGTGTGACCTTGGTTCACTGCAACCTCTGACTCCCTGGTGCAAGTGATTCATCTGCCTCAGCCTGTCGAGTAGCTGGGATTACAGGCAGGCGCCACCACGCCCAGCTAATTTTGTATTTTTAGTAGAGACAGCGTTTCACCATGTTGGCCAGGGTGGTCTTGATCTCCTGACCTCACGATCTGTGCCCGCCTTGGCGTCCCAAAGTTCTGGATTATAGGTGTGAGCCACTGTGCCCAGCCCAGTTGTAATAATTCTTTATATATTCTGTATATAAGTTCTTTATCAGATTATGATTTGCAAATATTTCTGCCCAGTCTGTAGCATGTCTTTTTATTTTTTTAATGGTGTCATTGGAAGAGCAAAAGTTTTTAACTTTGATGAAGTCCAACTTACCACATTATTTTTAATTGACTACAAATTTTGTGTCATATCTAAGAAATATGTGCCTAATCCAGAGTCAACCATTGTTTTTTTCCTGTGTTTTAAAAGTTTTAGTTTATATTTAGGTCTATGATCTGTTTTTAGTTAATTTTCATGTGTGATGTGAAGTAAGGGTCTAAATTCATTTTTCATAGAACTCCTGGATTTTTGTTTATTCAATATTTTATATTCAATTGTAGTTAATATTCTTAATGATGCTCAAATATTCCGATTAGGCTGGCATCTCTGTTCTTTGGATATATTTGCATTTGTATTTGCATACATCTGTGCCTTCCCGCAGTTCAGTGTTCCCCCACACATGCCTGAAATCAACTGTTCTCCATTTTTCCATGAGGCTCTAGTTCCTTTTGGTGAAGAGACCACTATGGGTGCTCATTGCTGCTGGGGTAGCAGTCAGTTCTAAAGTGTCTTAGTGGACAGGGCTATGTAATACAGCTTTTAAAAATCATGAGTTTATATTGATATTTTTCATTCAGATTTAATGTTGCAAGTTTTATTTCTTTTATATTTGTTTTTCTGGTTTAATTCAAATAAGGTAATTTTTAAAAATCCTTTATTGTCATTTCAGTGATGTTTAAATGAAATTTTTCTTTTTACCATCTTTAAAGAATGTCTATACCCTTTTATCTTCTCTATGCATTTTATTTTTGTGGACTGTCCAAGACTGTGACCATTTAACTGACTAGGCAAGAATCCAATGGAATCATCAAAGAGGAAAAAGGAAAAAAACTTTGATGGAGAAAGCTACTCTCTAAAAATTCTATGGACTGAGAGAGGAAGTTTTCTCAACCATAACCTTCTTTTTTCTTACTTTATAGTTTGGAATGGTCAGCTGTCATTGTGGATGAAGCTCATAGAATCAAGAATCCAAAAGCCAGAGTAACAGAAGTTATGAAAGCTTTGAAATGTAATGTCCGCATCGGCCTCACTGGAACCATTCTTCAAAACAACATGAAGGAGCTGTGGTGTGTTATGGACTGGTGAGGGAAAACACTTTAAAAAAAATTATTTGATAGTACTTCAGCTGAATACTGTCTTGTTTGCTAAATATTAGTGTCCAAACAAACAAAACAGTCGTTTGTCTATTTTTAGATGTGTTGGACCCTCAATGTATATAGAGTAGAGAGCCCTATGAAAACCTATCTTTTTATTTATTACTCCTGGTCACTGAAGTAAATATGCGTGCTAAGTGCCAATCTCATCCTCATGTTATAGTCATAACCTGAAACTGTCATAAAGAAAGAACATTCTGTTTTCTTGGCTTTCGTTTTTGTTACCATTAGTAGTCAAGTAATGTAGTATATCTCTTAGAAGCAAGAAGTCAATGTTTTTCTTTTTAGGTAATAAAGCCCTCACATTTTTCTTATTGTCTTCATAAAGGGCTGTGCCAGGTCTTTTAGGGAGCAACTCCTACTTCAAGAAGCAGTTTTCTGACCCAGTAGAACATGGTCAGAGACACACAGCAACCAAGAGAGAACTAGCCACTGGCCGAAAGGCCATGCAAAGACTTGCCAAAAAGATGTCTGGTTGGTTTCTCAGGCGCACCAAGACTCTTATCAAGGATCAGCTGCCTAAGAAGGAAGACCGGGTAAGAACCGCATTTGTGTATATTATTAATTTCTGGTCATATTTTTATTTTATTTTATTTTTTTCTTTTTAAGAAAAAGTCTGTCTCCTGTGGTAGTTTATGAATATAGTTTTTGCCTTTTACTCTGTATGGAAAAAAATTGTTACATGTAGAGTTTCAGAAACCATTGGTAGAGCTCAGTCGTTCTCCTTACTGACTTTACTAAACTGCTAACAGGTTTATTATTAATATACATTAAACTCATTTCCTAACAAAAAATTGTTTGTTTGTTTTTTTGTTTTTTTTTTGAGACAGAGTCTGGCTCTGTTGCCCAGGCTGGAGTGCAGTGGTGTGATCTCAGCTCACTGCAATTTCCACCTCCCGAGTTCAAGTGATTCTCCTGCTTCAGCCTCTCAAGTAGCTGGGATTACAGACGGGAGCCACCACAATGCCTGGCTAATTTTTTGTGTGTGTTTTTAGTAGAGACAGGGTTTCACTATGTTGTCCAGGCTGGTCTTGAACTCCTGACCTCAGGTGATCCACCTACCTCACCCTCCCAAAGTAGTGGTATTACAGGCATGAGCCACCACACCGCCCTCATCAAAACTTTTGATAGAATTTTTCCCAATAAAGAAGGAAGAGCTTTTCTCTGCAATGTGCTTTCTGTTCACACTTTGTCCTTCCCATACTGTCTGTTGTCCACCACACAGGGTATTCTTTGGTACCTTAATTCTAGCTGTAGGACCAGTGTGATTAATAGCTTTTTAAAAAATAGATAGGTCTGTTTCTTGTAGAATGCTATTTGCAGTTAGACAACTAACCTAACTTTTAGAATTTGTAGGAAAACTGTGTTGTTAAATTGTTTAAGAAAATATGAGGAGTGGACTTTAAGAATATATGTTTTTTAAATATAGTGGTCTTCTTTTATAGTTTTTAATCTTGTGTTTCTTCTAGCTTGGGCAATGGAATAAAGGTTCTACAAATTACTATGGAACTAACCTAATTAACATCCCAAATAAGGGCAGTCCTATGAAATGCCCTCTAATTTTAGTATATCCTCTTGATTGTTACTTTAAAAAGATAGATTTGAAAGGAAAATATATGATTAAATTGAGATACTTCATGGACTCTTATGTATGTAATTTAGCTATGTATCTAGTAGGAACAACACAAAAGTATAAGGAGAGAATTGTGCGTTGAGGTTTAGAACTTGGGCTCTGAAATCAAATACTATGAGTATAAATCCTAGCTCCTCTGCGTAGAGTTTTGTGACTTGGAGCAATTTGTGAGGCTCTCAAACCCGGGTTTCTTCTCTGTTAAATGGGAGTGGTGTTAGTAGCGCCTGCCTCACTTGGTTGCTCTGAAATGCATGGCATGTAAGAAATCTTGAGTAATTGATATATGTTTAATAATAATAAATAATTCAAGATACCTTCGTCCTTCGTTGACGATCATCTTCTATATTCTCTTTTTTTCTTATATGTACTTTTATGGTTCAGTCAAGCTGCATTAAATATTTTATAAATGTTTTATAAAATATTTTATATTTTAAAAAACATTTTAAAAAATATTTTATAAAAACATTTTTAAACTAGTATCGGGAGGGGGCAGGCTGGATGTGTGCTGCCATGCATCCTTCTTCAGTCTAGTTTGGGTCTTCAAAAAATAAAAGATAAAAATACCTTCCAATAGAGCTCTGGTCATCCTGGCTAAAGGAGCAGAGGAAATGGAGATAGTCATCCCTGTAGATGTCATGAGACAAGCTGAGATTGAAGTCACCATCGCAGGTCTGGCTGGAAAACACCCAGTACAGTGTAGCCTTGATGTTGTTATTTGTCCTGATATAGTCTTGAAGATGCAAAAAAGAGGTACCAAATGACAAGATGTTTGTAACAGGAGGTAACCCGGGTGCACAGATTTTATTTGAGCCTGCTGCCTTGGGAGAGACACTGAAGGAACAAGAGAATGAGAAGGGCCTCATAGCTCCTGTCTGTGCAGGTCCTGCTGGCCTGTTGGCTCCTGAAACGGTTTTGGAAGTAAAGTCATAACACACCTCCTTGCTAAAGACAAAATGAAGAATGGAAGTCATTACAGCTACTCCGAGAATCGTATGGGAAAGGACAGCCTGATTTTTACAAATCAAGGGCCAGACTGGCTTCGCATTTGCTCTTGGGACTGTTGAGGCCTAAGAGGCAAGGAGGTGGTGGCTGAAGTGAAGGCTTCACTTGTTCTTGAAGACCAGAGCAAAAAAAAATGTGAAGATCGGTTAGAGAAATAGGCCATTTGGAATCCATTCTCACTGTGTTTGCTTTAAACAGAAAAATGGTAGGTTAGTTTTGCTGAAAAGCCATCACCATTCCTGCTTTTGTGAAGTACAGTTGTGAAGTAACAACCACACAGAGGTTTCTCAACCTACAAATTGTGTCTCTCGCCCAGTCTAGAGTGTTGTGTCATGATCTTGGCTCACTGCAACCTCTGCCCTCGCAGTTCAAGCTGTTCTGTCTCAGCCTCCTGAGTAGCTGGGACTACAGGCGCACGCCACCACGCCCAGCTAATTTTTGTATTTTTAGTAGAGGTGGGGCTTTACCATATTGGCCAGGCTGGTCTCAAATTCCTGACCTCAGGTGATCCACCTGCCTCAGCCTCCCAAAGTGCTAGGTTTACAGGCATGAGCCATTGCGCCTGGCCTGTATCTACATTTCTGAGCCTTGTTTACAGAATAAACAGGACATTTAGGAAAAAAAAAAAGCATTGTTTTATCTAGACATTACTGTATTTGCTTGTATGCCCCTTTGCCTATTGACAATAATATTCTGTTGTGGTGATATATGCATATAAATATTTACAAAGATTCATATTTTACAAATATAAAAAATGTCAGTGCTTTGTCCCTGAAGTCAGGAAGTGCCTTGCCCAGTAAAGGACTACCTTTTAAAGTTCTTCTGATACTGGACAATCCCTGTGACCACCCACAACCCTGTGAGTTCAACACCAAAGGTGTCAAAGTGGTCCACGTGCCCCCATACACAGCTTGTCTAATTCAGCTTCTAGATCAGAGGGTCTCAGGGACCTTTAAGGCTCATTACACATGGTCCTCTATGGAAAGGATTGTAAGTGCTGTGGAGGAGAACCCTGCAAGAATACCATGAATGTCTGGAAGGATTAGACCATATGAAGATACCATCATCGTTCTAGAAAAAGCCATGAAAGCCATCAATCCTGGAATAGTAAAATCCTGCTGGAGAAGGCTATGTCCACATGTGCGTGACTTCAAAGGATTTACGACAGAGCCAGTCTGTGAAATCATGAGGGATTGTGGATATGGCAAAAAAGGTGAAGGGTGAAGCATTTCAAGATATGGATCTTGGAGAAATTCAAGAGCTAATTTAAAGAAATGCAGAACACCATACCAAAGGAATTAATTGAAGACGACTTGATGGAAATAAATGCTTTCAAAACAGTGCCAGACGATGAGGAACAAGACATAGAAAAAGCAGTAGAAGACCAATTGACATTAAATGATCTGGCAGAGGAGGTCTGATTATTTGATATTGCTCTTGACTTCTTTTATGACACAGACCCTTCTATGATACGGACACTGAAAGTAAAGCAACTGGTGGAAGAAGGACTGGCACCATATGGGAACATTTTTTAGAGAAACGAAAAGCAAAAAAGTCAGACAGAAATCGCAACATGTTTCTGTAAAGTTACACCAAGTGTGTCTGCTTCTCCTGCCTCCACTGACTTCCTTTCACTTTGCCTCTTCATTTCTGCTACTCATGAGACAAGAGCAACCTCTCCTTTTCCTTGCCCTCCTCAGCCTAGTCAATATGAAGCCCTTTGTGATGACCTACTTACACTTCATGAACAGTAAAGATATTTTCGCTTTCTTAATGATTTTCTTAATAACATTTTATTTTTTCTAGTTTTATTATAAGAATATAGTATGTAATAGTTATACAAAATATGTGTTTATCAACTGTTTACACTGTTGTTAAGGCTTCTGGTCAACAGTAGGCTGTTAGTAGTTGCTTTTGGGGAATCAGAAGTTATACATGGACTTTTGTGGGGAGTTGGCACATTAGCGCCTTCCATGTTCAAGGGTCAGTTGTGTAAGGAAATCATCATTTGTTTGTTCATATTATGATTTCTTTTAATTAAAATTCTATGAGGTTTATTTGAAAATGAAATTATACTTTATATTACCTAGGGTGGGGTAAAGAATGTAAGAGAATTGGGAGAAATCATCGTCATGTAAATAGAGAGAAAAATAGTTTATAGTAACTTTCACTATTATAATTATGAAATCAGATGTAGATTGTGATTTTTATTATTGCTATATACAAAATACTAATAACTACCTTGTATTTTATCTTGGCAGATGGTGTATTGTTCTTTGACAGATTTCCAGAAAGCTGTCTATCAGACAGTGCTAGAAACGGAGGATGTGACTCTGATACTTCAATCTTCTGAGCCTTGTACCTGTAGCAGTGGCCGAAAAAGGAGAAATTGCTGTTATAAGGTAAGCGTGTCAGTATAGCTTTATAATCTTGCTTTTGATTACATAGTACTCTTTTCTAGTGTAAAAAAAAAAGTAGCTTTTCCTCAGACAGTTCTTTAAAGCTATGTCTTAAAAAAAGAATGAATAGTTTTCAAAAATATTTTATAATATCAAATAGTAATTACATATAAAAATACATATTCAAATAGATTTTCAAAAAGTTAATTTTAGAAAGTAAGCTTAATTTTTATATCCTCCATTTTAGCTTTATTTTTGGGAAGTAACCTTTCTTCTTCAAATTTCATTTCATTTTCAAGAAGTTCCTCATTTTCCACTAATAGTAAACGAACATACTCTTGTATAGCAGGCTTAAAATACTATGCTGATGTTAGATACAGTATCGATGTAATAGAAACTGTGTATAAAAGAAAGTGGGTTTTTTTTAAGAATCAACATTTATTTGTACTTTTTTGACCTTCTGTTCGTATTTACTGCTCGTTTCACCTCTGTTGTGTTAAATTATCTGTCACATGTCTGAGTACGTAGAAGAACCCTAAGTGAATATTTATCTAGATTGATATTTACTCGATCTCATTTGTTTTGCTGTTTTTAACTACTTCCCTTTTTTTAGTAGCCCAGTCTCCTAGGAGCCTTGGAGCGTAAATGAGAAGAAGGGATCCACCTTAGCAGTGTTACCAGGCACCTCCTAACAGCAGCGTTTCCGTTACTGTGTGTCATGAGGATAAATACTTTCTGTAATGAGGATTTTCCCCTCTCTTTTATGAAAAATACCATGGTGTTATGATTTACCAAAAGGTGTGATTCCACATTAGTGATTTGTGGATATTTTATATAATAGTGGACTATCGTTTTCCTGGAATTTATTGTGCCAGAGTTACCAGATAATAAATATTATTGTAAGTCATATATTTTATGATGTAAGCAGGTGCATAGCTGTGTTAGTCATTTTTATTTTTTATGTTTTTCTGGTTACAGGCCAATTCTCATGGTGAAACAGTGAGAACCTTGTACCTCAGTTACCTTACAGTCCTTCAGAAGGTAGCTAACCACGTCGCGCTACTGCAAGCTGCGAGTACCTCCAGACAGCAGGTTTGCTGGCATTTCACATTTCTTTGTGATGCTACTGGTGTCGACATTTTATAAAGTTTTAAAATAAAGCTATTAAAGAAAGTATTTTTGGATGAAATTTAAGAGGAAGCTGACTTGCTCATTTTTACTATGTAGATATCAAGGAGTATGTGCACTTAAGTTTTTAATCAAAGTGAACAAATTTAAGCTTAATTTAAAATAATTATTTTTTATGCCTTTAATAATGTTCACGTCTTAATTTTTCAAAACATTCTTTGGTATAATTACTAAATAACATATTTGATGAGTCACTTCTGTTGCTCTAATAATGTGTGTAATGGTATTTAATCTACTAGGTAAAATGAGCATTTATAATAACTTATATTAAGTATTGAGGCTGTTTACCAAACTGGCTAAAATCAGTAATTTCAAAGTTTAGGTTTAAATTCAGTCATTTACTTTGGCTGTGTTCTTTTACTCTAGAGCACACATAAATGAAAAGGTGTTTTTGTAATGATTTTATATTTTCTTTCTATGTTATAGTTGATGCCATTTAAATGTAATTTTGAAATCGCATGAGAATTTGATATTGTTCTTTGATAGTACTCTACTCTTTTTGGTAGTATTTAGCACCTTGTTTTGGAAATCTTAAAAAATCTTTAAAAAGTAATGATCAAGTTAATATCCCACATCATTAAGAATTCGTCAACGCCATATATGTTTAACATATTATTTTAAGAGTTTCTGAATTCTTAGTCTGACTTAGGGAAGCAAAAATCTTTAAAGTAATACATTCTTTCTAAAAATAATTTTTTTCAGAGATTATTTCAACTTTTTCAGGGTTAAATGTGTTAAGTGAAAATATCTTTTCTTCTGTCTTTTCCCATCAAGGAAGCACTTATCAAAAGGATATGTGATCAGGTATTTTCCAGATTTCCAGATTTTGTGCAGAAAACCAAAGATGCAGCCTTTGAAACACTTTCTGACCCTAAATACAGTGGAAAAATGAAGGTAAGTGCTTCTCTTTCAGGTTGCATACAAACAGACATGATATACAAAATATTTATTCAGTGGTATGACAGAAACACCAACTAGTCAGTACATGTGCTCAATCATTCAGACGAGATGGTGGCTATCAACAGTTGGTGCAGTTGTATCAGCATTTATTAGGTCACTATGAACCCTGAATACAGATGCGTGCTTTTGGTAGGTCCTCGGTAGTAGCTGCTTCAAATATACTTCAAATGTGTGCTGTTATCACATAGATAATAGCTTGTCTTCAAATGTTTAAGGAAATAACCTACCAGAAATATAAATGCTAATACAAAGGGCGGGG